GATATTACTGAAATTTTTAACTATAAATAAAGGGCCTTACCACTAGTCTTTTTCCAGAACCAAGTTTTTGCTGTTCAGTTTCTTGCCTTTTATCTGCATCCGTTGCAAAAGCAAGTACTTCGTATCTGTTTGAAAAATATAGAAAAACTGTGACTTCAATTTAAAATGTGTAAATTATTTCACACTTTAAAAGCACATAATCTATAAACCTTGTGAATCACTTCTTGTCTTTTAAAAACTATAAAATGTAATTGCATTTTATTGAATGATATTGTGACATGACTATGTAAAACCGACATGATAAAGAAATTAAAACCATATGTCCCAATTATTCAATATAGAAAAAGTAGGTCTGTACACTACCAAAGCATTCCCATTAGAAATTTATGTGATAAACATTAATACTCAATATTCAGGAAAGTTCTTAAACACCTAATAGAAAAAATTTTAAATAGTCAGCAACGCAAGGCAGCCTAATGTAATGGAAATTATGAATTTTGGGGGGAACAACAAAACCTTAGTTTAATCCCCAGCTAAGTCACCAACTAGCTAATGAATTTTGGCAAATTCATCAGTGTCTTATTTTCCTTATCTATAAAATGATAATAACTCTAACACAAACATTGTTAAAAATTTTTAACAAAGAACCTAGTTTAGTAGGTGGTATATATTACATGTTTAATTACTGATTGATAGATTGACATGTAAACAAATAGACATATACAGATACATATATAGATAAATATCAGTCACTTAGTAGTTCATCTAGGAGCTCTGGCAGCATAGTGCCTAAGGCATTTAACTGCTAACCAGAAGGCTGGTGGTTCAAACCCACCAGCCTCTCCTCGGAAGGAAGGTTGGACAATCTACTTCCATAACGATACTGCCTCGGAAATCCAAGGAGGGGTCGCTATGAGTAGGATCTGACTCGAAGGCAGTGAGTTTAATTTGGTTTGAAGTAGTTTATCTGGCACATGTAATAAATCCACAATAATGGATATTATGACTTTTCTAAGTATTTTGCCCCAGGGTTACAGGTGAGGAGAGACAACGCAGGGACGCCCAGAGTAGCAGGC